ATGAAGCGGTGTCAGAGGGATTGCCGCGTTGTATATTAGTATTTGCGCTTTGGTTGTGTGATGGAGAGAAGCATCAGAAGTACTGTACATACGAGTGGACACGTATTCGTCATGTTAGATGACGAAATATGACATACTTGTCTCACTTGATATTATTAATTGCTCTTGCACGTAACCATATAAGTACAATGTGTGTTACTTATGCAACTATTGAATGGGGTATTTCATGAGGAAAAGATTAAGGTAGAGGTTTAGGACTAATGTAATTGATCATTAGGTTAATGATTCTCTATCTACATAATATTTTTAGAATATGATTAAAACATCAAGAAAAAGCCTGCGCTGGATTGAACCTAGGGCAGACAAAATAAACCTGAATATAGTGTATGTCTACATGCTTTTATGTAATATCTAACAGAAACTTTATCTATAGTAATAGAAATGGGTCATTGATAGGATTAGCATAAGCAAGCCATTTTCCAGTTCAATAATTATCTAAGTTCAAGGCAAAAAACATGAACACTTATACAGACCGTCCTGGGAAATTCTGTTAGTTGGTGCATCAATTTATTTATTTCAATGTGGCATCCTTGCATGTGTGTTGACCCAAGCAGAATGTATAACGCATACTTACTATCAATATCATTTAAAGAGAATATTTCAACAACAGCCGTAAGGCTTACAAATACCTTTCTTTGCGTGGTATAACACCAACTCTCTGATGACGTCTAGAGTGACTCACGTTGCTTGCGAATCTTGGTTCAAGAAGTGTTGGCCTGTTGGTACTAATAATAAGAAATGAGTAACAAAAGAGCAAAAGAAGAATATTCACAACAATAGACGCAACTCCGGCATGTATAGTATTGTTAATAGTAACAAATTGTGTCAAGACCGCAGTACTATTACTATATAAATGATTAATATTCTCGATAAATTAGAACCTCTGTAATAGTAACATAGACCGTTACAATCAGCTCGTCTGTATTATAACTTTGAGACTAAGTATGAAACTGTCATTGGTCCATATCAAATATTAGATATGTACAAATTGCCGACCGTGTCAAAGGCTCTACATATCTGTTCTTACTAAGACCCCTAAAATTTATATTCTCGTTATTATATATAAAGGCGTCTTTCCTTTAACTTATATTTTTAACACTATGTCTTAATATGACCTTTATTTAATTATGCGTATTAATGATGGATCAAATATGATTCGTAGATCGATGCGATGTTGTAACTAGCAAAAGCAGTTTCGATGCAAAAAGACAAAAGATAGATATTTCATACTATTATTATTGCAGCCATTATTGATAGAGATAGACATGAGATGCGTCAAAAATCTGATTACACTGTTTGTATTACCATTACCATTATTATAGAGATTGTGAAAGTTGCGATTCTTCCTGCAGAGGTGACATAATAATCTATTTATATTGTGATCGAAAAAGTGATGAAATTACGCACACGTTCAATGACATATATGTTACTTGTTCCTTAATGTTTTACTCATAACTCTCCGCGTTGAACAAACCAAAATGTGGCGCTTCCCCACCCCGTGTTTAACACTTGGACATCAAGTGAGCAGTGAACTTTGTTCTTAGTGCTCTTTCCAGGACTATAAAACACATAACGTGCGATGTCATATTTAATAGTTCACCAATTTTCCACAGCAACAATCAACGATTGTCCCTACCCGGGCGAGTGGATCTACTTTTGGTTGTTGATATTTGTTGCAAAGATGCGGACGCATTTTGATTGACATATTTCCAGCAAAGGGGCTAAGAATAATTATGGCTCATGTAACAGTCTATGATTCAAAAAGAATGATGAGCACGCCGTATCCATTTGGCGGTGTTAGACTTTCATGGTATACCAAGTTAACATGTATTAGGAACTGACAAACGTAAAGTACGAAATTAAGTGTCTCAATCAGAGGGTTTTATGACCTTATCAAAACATGCACCAGTTTTAAGGACACCTGAATCAAAAAAAGGAATACAATAATCGAACGACTCGTGAATAGGCAATGAACGTAGCCAGTTTCGCTATTGTCATGTTTAAACCAAAGAATTGTTGTTGTTCGCACCTAAGTTAGTTTGATTGAGAACGCAATTCCATATATATGACCAACGTAGACGTGATAGTTTTCATGCAAATGAAAGTTTGGATCGATAGGGAAATATATTTCCCGGCGTCGCTGACGGATCGAATATTATCGGCATCTTTGTCGGAAATTTTGATTGAAAGCTTCTTCTATTGCCATGACGACTTCGACTGTATCCAGGCTGTCTAATCCAAGATCATTAACAAAGTGAGAGTCGGTGGATAACTATTTTGGGGGAAGATAGAAGGAAATAGTTAAAGCAATGCGGTGATACGTTGGAGGTTGTGATTACCGATCTTTAATAATTAGCCGGGCTGCATTCTCTTTGTTGAATTTCATTCTCCACTAATTAAGCTTCCTACCTAGTGAGCGGGAACCCTCTTAGAATATCTAAAACCCTATTTTCAATAGTATTTATATCCAATGCCCCTGAGGCATAATGTCGCAAGCCTGTCATAGTAGGGTTGACAATATTAATGGCTGTACTTTATGAAATATAGAGAAGCCTGCTGAACGGAGGCGGAGGGTGGATGTTGCAAGACGGTGCATATTTTTTAAGAGTTATGGGTTCGATAGATTGGATGGTCAATTGGTGATCTAACGAGGGTAGCCGCCATCTTTGGAATTGGTAAAATTGCCGCCATGGTAACGACCGACCGGTGTATTATTTACGTGAGGAAGTGTGATAATTGGTGTCGTAGTGAAATAGTTGTTCACCATGAAGTGTATTTCAATGCTGGCGACTTTCAGGCCCGAGGTAGCTACAGCCAGTCCATCCGGAGAGTCTCTTGAGAAAACCGTCGACTTCAACGAAAAGCCATCCAAGTTTAATAATCACATGATCGCCATACCAGATCATTCTGAACATGTGGTTGGCTAAAAATAATTGACGCTTATGGAGAACAAGCTTGACTTTCTTGCGCTTAATCTTATTTGGAGTGGTATAAGTCTTCTTCTTCTTAACATTTCTTTGCGCTACCGAGAAGACGAGGAGCTAAATGAAGCGTCGAATTTTTTTCAATGTCGTATTCGGTAAGTGTTCGATCCTCTATTAGCGGTTTGCGTGAATAAATTTTGGCCAATTCTTTATTTCACCTCTGGCTTCGTCATGTTGTAGCAAAATATCGTAGCTTGGAAATAAAGTCTATCGTATTATTCAATCAATTCAGAGTAAATTGATGCTCGTTTATTGATAAGATAAGGAGGGTATCGATGTTAAGTCTATACTATGCTGCTTATATATCTTTTCGGACTACAAATTGGTTTATTTTTAGCATCGCAATCTGCATTATTGTCTAATTACTAATTTCCTGCTATACGTACTGCAGTCGTGCAAATACGTCATCGTTAGTCAGCTCCTATACAATCACATTGATGTTTTGTTTGCTGTGATTAGATATTTCGAACAGTCAACAAAAAAAATTGTTATTGCATATAAAAATTAAACTGTGCAATACTTTTGTCCCTTAACATAAAAAGTGTGATCAACGTCAACAAAGCCCTGACTGTACTACCAGGTAACTGTATGCAGATGTGGGTAAATAAACAGTCACATGCATATTAAATACTGAAATAGCAATAGAAACTATTGTATAGTGATAAATGTAACCACGTGACAACGAATCTACTGAATCTGTGATATTGCCATATGATTGATGGTATTGTATGCTTCATCTGCAAGATTACTAATATATGCGTATAATACACCATTTTAAAGCTTGAAAGCAGTATATTTTATTACTATAAATTAATAGGATATTCGTTCACCCATTTTTTCCAATAACATCTCTACAACGTCGCTTTATTGAATTGACCAAATTGATTAGAAGGCTATCCGGGACATTATTCCACTCTTCGACCAAATACTTCTCTAATTCACTGAGATTTTGAGGCTTACGTTTTTCCACATTTCTTTTAACAACTGCCCAGAGGTTTTCAATGGAATTTAAATCTGGACTGTTGGAGGGCCAGTCCATTACTGTAGGAACATTTTTCTGAAGAAATTCCTTAGCAATGCGACTAGTATGCTTAGGATCGTTGTCTTACTGTCCATGACCAGTATATATTATAAATATATCTGGCAAACTTTTTTTTAAACAACGCATTAACGTTAATGGTAGTGTAGTACTGTAAAAGTAAATAAAAAACACCGTAATTTATTATGTTTGATAATTTAACAAAAAAGTTTCCGTATCGTATAAATTTGTCAATTTATTACCCAAATATGTGCCTTAGTAAAATTTTATTTTTATCTAAATGTAAGACAAAAACTTGATATTTTTAATTACAATTGATAGTAGTTTATTTGGTCCAAATTTCAGAATATTTTCGTTATTGCTTGCTGAGTAATTTAAATTTGGTCTCATTTTTATTATTATTGATTGTTGTATACTTTTGGTAGGTTAGCTGTAAACGCGGGCGAGTACGTCAACGTACGGTTTACAGTTGCTCATGGAAGAAATTTTTTTTAAAGAATTTTTTATAACCGAGGATGTCCTACACAGCAAGTACATGTTAAAGAAAACTCAAGCAATGAAGAGGAGGCTGCTATTCGAGTTTTATATGATATGATATAACTTATAACGAAGGGACTACAGACAGTAGTTCACTGTATATGCAAAAGTATTAAAAGAAAATGATAGATTTAGAGGATATTAAATCTATATCGTAAATTTGCTTTGGGATTATTTCTGTAAAAAAAGTCAGATTCCACTATGGAATCAAAGCATCACAGCGCTATTTTAAAAAGTTCAAAAAAATTTCTTACAAAATTTAATAATAATAAGAACAAAGTAAAAACTACATAATTTATGGTGTACCAGAAAACTTGAAGAAATATAAGACTTTCTCAACAGCTTGTTGCCCCGATCAAATTTGGAAATTAATGCCATAAATAGGTGGGGGCATCGACTAAATTGGTAATTGTTACTTTTCACACGATTGACCCTGACTGATTTGCTTGAATGCGTCACACAAAACCTAAACACAATCATATAAAAGTCTTTTTTCTTTTTTCAAAAAATTTTCTTGCCGCGTACCATACAAATGACAATGTATTTTGAAGCTAATTTATTACAATTTTCGAAAAAATAACAATAGAATTTTATACATGGTTCTTATATAGCCGTACAGGCAGTAATAGTATTTAAATCACAGTTTGATAATACAATAAGATGCATAAGTAATTGACCACCCGTAATTTGAAAGAGAAATAACAGATGTTTTGAAATTTTACTGCATACACATATATCACAAACACTAGCTACCTGCAAATTGATTGAACTCTCCAGCAAAATTTTCAGGCACCAAATATTTTAACCTCCGGACGTGTCATAATGCGCAATATTTGTCATAAAATTCAAAAATTCATATCCCAACACTTTCAAACCAAATAAATTTTTTATTTTGTTCTCCTGCAATTTAGTATACATTAGTATAATTTTTGAACGAAGTGCTGTGCGATGACTATTGCAAAACATCAAATTATTGTAAGACATGATGATTAATACGTGTTTCTTATTGCCAAGTATAATAATAATTTTCTTCTAATTTAGCCAAGGTAAAAGAGTACGTAAAGATACATTTGACAAGAAAAAATTATGCAAATCGTTTAGGGACATGCAGAGATGCAAATATTTGAAGTTTATGTCGAATAGGCAACAAGGAATTTAAATGTTTCAGTATTAGTATTAGGGCGTTTCAACATATAAATGTTTGAATATAAATTTCATATATAAAATTGCACACGCAATAATAAAAAGTTTACTATAAAAATAATTATACCGGAGTTTATGAGCTGTATTAGTATCCAACTGTACGTACTGTAGCTTTAACTTTGGACCGTACAACATTATCACGTGGGATAAAATTATTAATTGATTTACGCGATCATCACAACCAATCAGTTATAGATGCAGCGAAAAATTCTCCACAGTAACCGCTCGCTCTCTTGAACTAATCGGAAAAAATGGATTACCATTCGATATACCAATTATTTACGGCAACTTATCATTCTGATCCTAACATCCAAAAACAAGCTGAATTGCAGCTAAAAAGAGTGAGAATCGGAGAACTTGTGGGTACCGCAATAACTGCCAATTCGCGAATATTGACTAGGAGAACTTTATCTAGGTTGAGGGTATACCAGGCTTTATTTCGACCTGTTTACAAATTATTGGGTCACAAGAGAGTGAAACTGGTACAAGGCAGGCTGGTATGTTATATCATGGACTAATGGAGATCTAAACTTATACGTTTGATTGACAAATCAACAAATGTCATTTAGCCGCTATATATTTGAAAAATCGTATCCGCAATTCATGGGACATGGATGAGGAGAATAAGAAAGCAGTACCAATCTCGGACGATGACCGGAGGGGCGTTAAACAAAATATTCTCAACGTGCTCTTAAATACCCCAAATAATGTGAGGTACAAATGTTTATGTATATCAAGCAATTTTTGTAAACAGTATAATATAACTTGTTCTAAATTTATATTCGTATAGGATTCAATTGCTAGATTGTCTGAACCGCGTTTTGGCCAGAGATCATCCAAAGAATTGGCCTGATTATTTGTCGCAGGTGCAAATGATGCTCACATCGAATGATCCCAGCACAGTTTACATTGGTTGTTTGGCTTTACTAGAAGTTGTTAAAATTTATCAGTAAGTTGTTATAATAAATTTACGTTTATCAGAGTAAGAAAAATAACTAATATGTTTACAGATGGAAATCAGAAGAGTTTCGAGGTCCTTTACGAGAAATTATCCGAACTGCATTTCCGGTAATTCTACAAGTTGCGCTAAGGATACAGAACGAAGATAGTCTTGATGCCGCAGAGCTCATGAGGATAATACTTAAAACGTATTCATCGGCAGTCCACGTAAGTAACATATCATTGATATGCCAAGTTTACTGTAAGCTGCTTTATTTCGACTAATACTTGTATACCTCGACTTCGAAAAGTACGAACTTGTAAAAGATCTTCAAGACAATTCATCATTAGTCCACTGGGGAACGCTTTTTCTTAACATAGTTGCTAAGCCTAGCCCAGAATCAACACTTCCTGCTGATCCTGCGGAACGGGAAAAATTTGGCTGGATGCGTCCTAAAAAATGGGCATATAATATTCTAAATCGTTTGTTTAGCAGATATGGCAATCCAGCACAACTTCCTCGTTCGGCCTGGGATTTGTACAAAATATTTGCCGAAAATTTCATTGAGAATTTTGCACCACAGATCCTAAGACAATACTTACATCAAACGGAGTTATGGATAAAAAAAGAACAATGGTTGAGCAAGAGAGCGTTGTTCTCCTTGGCTGATTTATATAAGGATGCGTGAGTATAACGTGAAGTTTGATTAACTAGTGCATTTGATGATAGCTAGCATTGAAACGGAAATTTTTCATAACCGACAACAGAATTTTTCACAAGAAGACATGGCAGATTTTAAAACCTTACAGTGGCGAGCTAGTTTCTCATTTCATTTTCCCGCAACTCTGCTTTACTACTGAAGACAATGAGCTATGGTTGGAGGATCCCATTGAATATATACATAAAAAGGTTGATCCGCTCGAAGACTTTACATCACCGGTGAATGCTGCTACCACATTCTTGATGGAGCTGACACGACACCGTCGGAAGCACGTACTTAATGGGATTCTAGGATTTATTAATTCCATACTCAAGACCTATCAAGAAGCCCCGTCAAATGAGAAGAAACCAGGAGAAAAAGATGGTGCATTGAGAATGATGGGATGCTTGGCCGATCAAATTTTAAGGAAAAAAAGTAACGTTGCTCATTTAATGGAAGGAGTTTTCGTCGAGCATGTATTTCCGGAATTCAAGAGTCAGCATCCATTCTTGAGGGCAAGGGTAAGTCGTTGCAGGTTGTATGACAGAAGGACAGCGATCATTGTGAAAACGTGAACATGTGAAGTACTTACTTTACGGATCTACGGATAGGCATGTGACATGTTAGTGAAATTCTCTGAATTGAATTTTCAAGACCAGCAAAATCTTGCAGCTGCTTTCCAAGGGATTACCGACTGTATGAGGGACACGGAACTACCTGTGAAAGTACAAGCTGCTTTGGCTTTGCAAAGTATGATACGACATGACGTTGGTGCGTTATAAATATCTGAATATACTTCCTAGTTCGTCTTGTAATTTTACAAAATAATTGATTATCTTTGTTCTTCTATATACTCTTGAAGTTAGGACAGCGCTTTCACCGAATCTGCCCGTGGTTATGCAAGGCAAAGCAATAACCGTCGTTGATGATGAACGTTGATTTCTAAATCCTGTAGTTAGCTAAATGCTTTTCATTTACTATTCAACAGAATTAATCAACCTCACAAATCAAGCTGATATCGACATTCTTACTACTGTAATGGAGGAATTCGTTGAAGTGTTCTCAAAAGAACTGAGCCCTTTCGCGATTCAATTATGCGAGCAATTGGTACTAACTGTCGATGACCTTACTTGATTTGTTTCTATTGCATATCGGCAATTGCTGAATATTTTTTTCTCTCTTCGTAGCGTGATGCATATTTGCGAATTGTCCAGTCGATTCCTGAAGATCGTGATGAAGAGTTTTTAAATTCTCTTAGTATTGATGATAAGACTATGGCAGCGAATGGTGTGCTTAAGACTTTGTCTGGTATGATCGTAAACTTGGAAATTTCCCCGGAAACTTTCGCTCAGATGGAAGTAACCTTACTTCCAGTAATTACGTATACTCTACAGAATAATATTGTCGGTAAATGTGGTTGAAATGACCTCATATTTTGATGTCCATTAGCCTTGCACTAGTGAAGTTCTAATTTGCTTAACGAGCTATCAACATATGCTAGATTTGTATGATGATGTGTTTGAGATTATCGATTACTGCACTTTCACGACAAAGAAAGTGTCACCGGCTATGTGGACCGTGTTTGATTTAGTATACAATTCTGTTAAAGATGCTGGAATAGATTACATCGAAGGTAATTCTTTCTCATAAAATTATGCATTCGACATGCAATGGATGTGGATAGTATAACGTTGAATACTGATTGTGGACTCGCCATTTCTCCAGACATTGTGCCTTCGTTGGATAATTATATATCATATGGCAAAGATGTATTGTTAGAAAATCAAAACATACAGGCCATGATGATGGATATCATTGATACGGTGTGTATTACTGTTATGAAATGTTTCATAATACAATGTAATATTAATAATCGAACTCATATGCATAATATGCAGATAATGAAGCATGATCGGTTGGAGGAAAAGGACCGTGTGGCTGGTTGTAAATTAATGGAATCCGTTCTGCTGAATTGCAGAGGTCAAGTAGACCAGGTAAAATTTAATACCAATCGAGTTGCCATACGTCTAATCGAGTCGTTATAAGATTTGGTTGAAATGAATACTAATGCACTTTTTGTTACGACAGTACGTAAGGCCGTTTATGGACCTTGCCTTCATGTACTTCGCCAAAGTACAAGAAGTGCGCAGTACAGCATTCAAACTTTATCTTCTTGAAGTTGTAGGTTTCAATTATTTTTCTAATGTAATCCTGTCGAATTAGCGTCATTTATTTAGCATTCTAATTTATTATCTTTTGGTTTACTCTACCAACAAGATAATCAATGCTTTGTATTATAACCCGCTACATACGCTTGTCATTCTTGAGGAATACCAAACAACACAGGCCTTTTTCACGATTTGGTTCCAAAGCCTAGACACATTCAATCGTGTCCATGATAAGAAACTCACCATTGTAGCATTATGCGCACTAGTAGAATTGCCTCCAGAACAACTGCCACAGGCAGTGCAAGTGGGTTGGTCACAAATATTACAGGCGATGTTAACTATACTAAAAGGATTGCCCAAGGCTGAACAAAGTAAGAACTGTTTGTTTATGATAATTTGCAGGGAACACGAAAGAATCTAAATTTGTCTAATTTCGTAGATCGAGAACGCATTCGAAAAATATATGAAGAAGGCATTGATAGTGATGATGATGAGTCTCAACGATTCAGGGCTTTTGGCGGTGATGAGGAAGCCGATGATGACTTTGCTACAGAAAATGGTGTGTGTTAATTGAAAACCATTTAGTATATAAATTTGTCTAATGTTTCCTGCTGATCTTGTAGCTGATGATGAGGATGTACTTGACCAAGACACTGAGTACTTGGAGATGTTAGCGCAAGAGGTAATGTTATCTATGCTTAACGTTTTGCGTTGCGACCCATATTTAGCTCTATTCTTTATATTATTTGTTTAGGCAGCAAGAGCTGCAGCGGAAGAAACGGATGACGATGAAGATGACATTAAGGAAGAGGTCGTGTTCGAATCTCCCCTTGACGATATTGATGCATACATCAAATTCCAGGAGACGCTAGTTGGTAAGTGTTCCTTACATGTAATTACGTAAATAATCTAATTAGCCTAATAATTCTTGGATGTCCCCCGTTTTTGTAGGGTTACAACAACGAAATCCATTATCGTATCAGCTACTTACTAGGGACTTGACTTCCGAAGATCAGGAAGTGATAAAATCGTTATTTGCCACCGCTGACGAGCATCGCGAACATGCGAAAACAGTAGCAACGAAGGAGAATGGAGATATTTGAGATAGATTATGCATGTAACCTGTTTGTTTATACCATGTATATATACTGTCCTTACGTTTTAATTTATGTGGTCCGTAGATGTATCAATATTGTAAGGGTTTGAATTTGTTGGTATTTTTACAGAACCAGGATCAGTTTTTGCAGCCTTCATTGCGCGTTCAATTGTAATTTGTCTTGGCACTACAATCTGATCCTGAATAAGATTGTAGAGGACAGTTGCAGAAGTATCAGTCGATTAAAACATAACACTCTAGTAACACAGTTACTGTTACGTCTCGCGTCAACTGCTTAATTTCTCTGTGTAACCGTGACGTATGGTATCAACCCATAAATCATCGTCAAAAACACAACCCAATCTTAATACGACTTTCAACTGTCATCCCATCATGAAGGATCAAAACGACAGCCTTACAGTCGAGAGTCTCGAATTGCACCCCGAGCTACGAAAAAACAAAGTGCTAACAGCCATGTGTCATGTTTTCCTGAAAATGGGAAACGAGTGGTTGACGGCCAAGCAGATCGTTGGTAATGAAATTGAGTTATAACCGTGTTGATCCGGATTTATTTTGGGACATGAAGTTAACTGATTGTTTTTCTCAGCTGCATGTCACGCGTTAAACGTTATTCGATTGAGGCAAGTTAGACAGTGACGTTAAGAGCGACCCTTTGCGGACGCTTGTTACTTGAATTGATTTGCTAAACTGTTAGATTATTCAGAGCTGATCCTTTATCTTTAATAGAGGAAAGACTCCGGCCTCAACAATACAAGGGAGTATATCTATAGTGCTATCCACTGCGACGCAACTTCAAGTTCCACCGCCAATAAGCAAACTGAAGTGTGATGGAGGCAGGGGTACCTATTACCGTCTATCACCAGAGTTATTCCCGAAAGGGTCGATATTTTCCGACAAGATGACAATAGACACGGCGCCTCAGATTATCGCAACGCCTACTAGTGGAAACAGCGTGCAACCAAAACGACGGACCACTAATAAGAAACGAAAACGAACGGTTCGGGCTTCGAGCCATTCAAAAAAGCGAAAGCGTGTGGAGGGGTATAAAGGGCGTCGTCTGGGTCCATGTGCTTCGGAGCATCCTAATACAAAGTCGAATAGCGTGCAGTCGAACGTAAAGACGAAAGTTGGTCCAGAATTCGACTGGTTAGACTTAATCGACTCTGGTTCAGATCTTTCGGACGTTGATAGTGACTGGTCCTCCGAATCTGAATCTTATTGTGTTACCAACGGTCGATTAAACACTGACTCTATGACTGAGGCGTCTGAAGAGTGAGTTGGATTTGTTACATATAGTATGCGTTAAAATATGATCACATTAAAACTCGTATTTTTCAATCTAGGATGGAGTCATTGATTGACATGCTATTGACGACGTATCAGCCAACAGACTTTGCTATCGATACATCATTAAAGCCGTCTGATTTCTGCGTAGGTCAACAGACCGGTTACTCATATCCACGTTTAAGAAATCGTCCGAAGAAGAGGGTCGCGAAGCCGCAATGCGAGGATTCTTTTTGCATCAAAGATTTACACATGCAAAACGGACAGCCGATAACAAGGCTATTTTGCATTGCTGATGGACATGGTGGTGCAGGATGCTCAAAATTTTTAACGGAAAGAATACCCGAAATGATCGAAAAACTACTACAGAATTATACACCATTTCAAATGTGCAAGGTATCTGTGCAAGAGAAGTTCAAACAAGATATGACGGAGGTCATCAAGTGCCTGGATAATGAGTATCTTGATCGAAAGAGAGAAGAGTTTCGTCGATGGCGGAATCAAGAAAGTAAGGTTGAACCAGTTGATGATGGCGCAACATTAGTGTTGAATATTTTTTTTGGTGATTGGCTTATAAATGCCAATGTTGGGGATTCGCGCACAGTCCTGGCTCATGGAATTAGAAACAAATGGACAGTCGACTTTGCGAGTGAGGATCACAAACCATATCTTGAGCGTCTAGCACAAAATATCTTCTGTAATGGCGGTATGTTTGTAGACAACAATGACAAACCCATCAAGTTCGATCCTGTTAGACATGAGAGACGAATAAGACCAAGTCTGAAGAGAGCACGTATTCGACTTCAAGACGCAAATAATGATCTTGGTATCCCGTATTCTAATGGTAGAGGAATCAACTGGTCACTCAATGTGGCAGCTACAATTGGTGATTTACTTTTTAAGCTTGATCCCAATAAGCCAGTAGTATCTTGCGTTCCAGATATATACTTTACGAGACTAGACCGACTGTCAGATACTAGTGGGCGTGGATTTCTGTTAATGAGCACTGACGGGTTGTTTGACCACATGTATGCAAGCAAGCCTGAAGTGCAAAATCTGACTATAGCTACTCAAGTCGGCCGAAAAATAGATATTGGAGAGTCACCCATGGACATTGTAAAGCATCTCTGCAATAGAGAAGGGGATCGAGAACTTTTCGAGAACACTTTGCAGGAGTATGATGATTGTACTTGCATTCTAGTTAAGCTGTAGATTCCTTTTGAAAAGGTCTGATGATGAGGAGAATAATGAACACTCTGAGTGCGCCATTAATTGTGCTTGTATTTAAAGTCACCTTTCTGGAATGACAAGGATGCGTGTTTCATGTTGGTGAAAATTGTAAGAGTCGCTCGGCAATAATCACGTTCGTTAGTCACTGAGAGTCTCCCAGAAATAGTTGATTTTTATGGATGCTGTTCAGAGTACAATCATTGTGCTTACGTTGTTAAGCCATTGTATATTTTTTTTCTTCTTCATTGTAATTGTATAGTGCATCACATCAAGAAAATCTATCAAATAATGCATAAACCACCAAATCGTTTAGATCAGAGAAGTTTCCTCTTAGATGCGAATAGCATATACAACTACAAGCGGGTTAGGGCTTGATTAATCGTCTTCGCTGTCGACAATCAAATTCACTGTAACTTTCAACAGTATCGTCGTGCATTTCCGTGCAAAACTTGCATGTTTCTATAATGTAATTCGTTTGAATATATGAAAGATGATATGTTACAAGCAAACAGCACGTTGCTAATATACCATTCCTATGGGCAAAGGCAAGCTCAAACGTTTGTTATATGGTCAATCATTATTACTTCTGACCGCATGCTTTAGGTTAATGATTGTAACTAATGTACGTACTGAATAAATTCTGACGAATGATAACTTGTGTAAGCGAAAAGCTGGCATTTTCTAGTTTGGGAACAGTGATGCTACTCCGGTCGAATTCCGTTTAGCCCTCTAGAATTGGTAAATTAATGGGCTCCCCAACTCGTATCACCGATAGTAATATTTGACTCCCCGTGCACGCGCTCTTCACTATAGTACAATATGACTATTTCGTTGTAGTTTATTACCAAGCGTTAATCCATTTTCGTAAATAATAACCTGTTTCTTTGATCACAAATTTGTCTTGACGGTGTGGGTTTAGGTGAATGACCAAAGACATATCCTATTTTCACACCGATTCCAACGAATAAAACCGTTGAAACTAGGCGATGTGCAACATTGTTGCGCAAGTTAGATTTTTGACCAGCGGAACTCTAGGAAGTTTTCGTTGTCGAATAGGGAAGGGAGCAGTATATAGTAACTATGGAATCCCACAAGGGAATCCCTTCGTAAGCGTACAATTGATATTCGATCCTATGGGTATTAAAGTGACGTTACGTTATTCCGTTGGAACCTTCCGACCAATTCTTTACAGGAAGTTCGAATTGACGATCGCCTATAATAATAATAGCCACAGCATCATCTGCCTATTCGCATAACGTATATTATGCATCAAAGTGAACATAATTTGGTAGGCCATATCAACATATATGCATATAGGAGAAAGAATTTATCCATCGTATATTCTATACAAGTAGAAATTGGAAGAATATTAATATTTAAATTTATAATAATTTATCATAATCAGGAATTTATCCGACATGTTACACGGCCATAATTTTATCCTAAAGCTGTACTACATGTTGAATTGTATTACCCTTAAAAAGGAAATATTCTGGCCGTGTAACATGTCGGATAATATCCCGATTATCATAAAGTATCAATCTCATTTCGGTTGTAATACAGACCACGTAAATCGCGTCTCTTGTTTCCAACAATGAAGATGTTTTTCTTCACCAAAAGTGTCACCAGTTTGTTTTAAAGCACCCCAGTTCAAAAGTATTAGTATGGCAACACCATAGTATGCACTTTGCCGGAATAATGGAGATTGTTAAACTTTCTGCATGTTGTGAGGATCAAGAGTCTAAGATGACGTATTCCTCTCTGAATTTGCTGCGGAACGATAGGTGTCACTAACAACGGTACACAGATGATTAGAATGTAAGACAAGTGCCGAACGGTGATACGGGCAGCAAATATTTGCTGCTATTT